ACCTAGCATTAACATAATTTTATGGACACAGAAAATAGAACGTATCAAATAATTCTTAATGTTATCTGTGACATTACTGTGTTTTTATTATCATTGATGCTGTTGCATACTCATGATCCTTATTGTCATCGTCATTACCATTATCATCAAGAATATGCGAACGAGTAATAATTTTAATGATAATGTATTTTTCATTTTAGACGGATGTTTTCATTCACTGTGTAGTACTTAAAGTGAAGGAAATTGCGGAATTACGGTGAAAGAAATTGATCAGAATACACGGAATCATCTATTCTTTTGTGATTAAGAATGAACCCCTCGCTGTTTTGTTTACTTCTATTTGTTAAAAATATTTTTTTTTTCTCTTTTTTTCTGACGATTAACTCATTGTACTTCTTCCATTCCGTTTCCATTTTTGCGAAGGGTGACCATATAATTTACGTAGTTACATATTTATCTGATCTTCGTACTTTACTTTCCTCATTATCCAGTCATTCATATTCAGCGGAGGTATGGACTGTTCCCTGTAATACCCTTCTTGCGCAAGCCTTGGCGATGCTGTCTTGCTATTGGTCGGGGCGTAAAAGGTTGACCAATGACATTAAAGGATATTTTGCCACAATATCAGACAAAGATATATATATATATATAAGGCCATAGACCCAGAGCATGACAATCCTCTCGCCAAATCTTTTAAAAAACTGATAAATAAAGCACACACCATTACTCCACGGATGGTGTGGCACAGAAAAATACTTAACTCCCTTGAAGAGTTAAATCTCCTACCTGTAATTAAGGAAAGAGGGTTAGACATCTCTCACCCTAATTACACCATGCAAAAACCTTGGGTCTCTCCACTTGCGAACTTTCACTTCAATACATTACCGTTGCCCAAGGCATTGTGCAATCTCCAAACCTTTTACCATATCCAAGAAATTGTACATCAAATATCAACTCGACAAGACACAGCCACAATATTCACAGATGGTTCTGTAGATCAGCGCACGGGAAAAGCTGGATCTGCCTTTGTGTGTGGTGACTTCCTAAAGGCTAAACGTATATCAGACAACTCATCAACATTGCAAGCAGAACTGGTTGCAATCAAAGATGCCCTTAATTACAGCATTCAGTTAGTGAACAACACCATATATATAATGACGGACTCCCTTTCAGCCATACATTCACTCCAAAAGATTCCTCCAAATGACAACATCAGATTGATCACGACGATACTTTTTAAACTTCAGCAACTAACAGAGCAAGGAAAAGCCATCAACTTTATGTGGATCCCAAGTCACTCAGGTATTAAACAAAATGATCAAGCAGATAGAACAGCTAAAGATAGTCTTAAGCAGAATCATGTCTCCTCTGTACAACCAAGTCTCGGTTTCATTAAGAAATTAGCTAAAAGAACTTCCTTCCAGATATCACTAATACAACATCAAGTTTGGGCTCAAGTGGGTTCCTCCTCTGCACGCTGGTATCAAAAAGTCACCAACTATGAACGCATTATTATACCTCGTTCCATGGGAAGGAAAGAAGCCGTCATTCTCCATCGCCTTCGTCTTGGATACCGCTGTAACTGGGAAATAAATGAAAGAATCCTCAGAAACTGTCAATATTGTGATGCCACAGTCTCAGAGCCACTTTTACACTACATTCTTGCATGTCCTGTACTTGAGGACATCAGGCCACACCAGTACAAAAGATACAACCTACAAGACCCCAGCGATGCCCTCTCTGCAGCAGACTGTATCAGCCAAATACTCAATAACGAAAAATCATTTTACACATTATGCAAAACACCTCCTCCCAGATAATCAAATGTAACAATTAAAACTATAAAATAGAAATTGTAATCACTTAACTTAAGAAAATAAAACCTAAAATAAAAGACCTATTACCGGGTGGCTTAAGCGAAACCCGGACTACTCCAGCTCTTTCGGAGTAGTAAATAATAAAAAACAAAAAGAAAAAAAAAAAAAAAAACACAGAGCTTAGTAAACTCATATGCTTCATGGAGAAAACATTAAGCCTCCTAACTTTGAAGAGATTCTTTATCTACTGAGTGATTTACAAGGTGTGTATATGTAAATTTGTGAAAAAAAAAACGAGGTGAAATAAATCACAATGTTTACAGACTATAGTATTGAACATAGGGATCAGTCTTCATTGTTTGCCTAGGAAAATTAATTATATCATTGCCTTTGCACTAATTTATAACATTCTGACTTTTGTTGCGATTAACTAAGAGAATACACATTTTGCTTTTCCTTTTAGATGAATAACGCCTTAATCCTTCTGGTGGCCGTTGGTCTTTCCTGCTTGATGGCAGTCCAAGCAACCTCATTCGGCGTTCTAGCCGGCCTAGGAGCCTTGACGAGCGGTATAGCAAACGGAGATATCACGGTGCAAGCCATGGACGCGGCCATGGCCATGGATATAGAGCTCCTAAAAGGAAGTACCGCCTCCGTCACCGCCGCTCCGTCGCAGCAGCTGATGAGGAAGATGACCTGATTTTGTCTGCAATAGGACAGCTGGATGCCGACACCTACATACCCATGATGTTTAGCGTCCTGCAGGCGAAGGATGAATCCGATCGCACACTGAAAGAGAACATGCTTGTGGAGATCTTAAGCGATAATACCATGAACCCAAACTCCTACAACGCTGCCTTCGTCTACGCTAGAGTCGTCGCCACTAAGGAGAAAGACTCCTCCGTCTGCAAGAAGCTTTTCCCCAAATGTTCACTTGGTGAGGAGGAACTAAGTGAGCTCTTGGATCTAGCATGGGGCTGTGACTGCAGCTCTGGAGGGAAAGAGTAAAACTAGCAGCTAAAACTCATTGTCGCATCTGTTGGCATCTTCCTATGGCTAGAGCCACAGAAGGGTGACAAGGTGTTTCTCTCTCTAATGTCCGTTGGACAGCGAAAACACATATTCACTGATGAGTCATACTGCAAAGAGAAAATCTCTAATTGCGATATGTCATGCTAGTGTACATACATTATATGCAGATATTCTGTGTCTTTAAATAGATAATATTTATTTGCTTCATGCCTGCGAATATGCGAGTGGTTGACCCAAAGACAGATATTTTATTTTTTACGCCAAATGCAGTATTGTTATGACAGCCTGTTCTTATCATGCTGAATTGTTGATGACTTTAGATAAATAAATCTAAATATAGTTTCTAGAATGATTGTGCTTTTATCCCTCTCTTTTTCATCACAGAACACATTACCTATATATTCCCAGGCATATTGTACAAGAATCCTGGTTGGGCCACCTAAACTTAGTATATGTAGAGATAAATCTCTCTATATCTATATTTATAGCCATATTTACATATCTTATATGTATATATATCTATATAAAATATGTATACATACACCTTATTTATATAAATATATATAAACTGAAAACAAGTGAATGCATTCCTTACTCTTTATTATTATTATTGTTATTATTATTATTTTTATTTATTATTATTATTATTTTTTATTTTTTATTTCTTTTGCTGCATTCTTTTTTTTTTTTTTTCCTTTTGTTCTTGTCTCAGGGTTCTCCTTAAAGAAATATCATACATAGAACGATACGCCTTCTTTATCTACTGCATTTTTTTCTTGATTTCACTTTTACTTTCATTGCAAACGAAACATTACTTAATTCCTCAACACAATACCCAATGAAGTCAAATCAATATATAGACTCAAAAAATAGCAATGAACTTACACATTTCCCCCGAGTTTTAAAATCAGCGTATAGCTCATGAATGTGAGTCACAGTTACTCGTTAACAATGAATAGTAATGAGGATGGTCTGGCGAGTGTGAAGGTATTCTGAGAATCTCCGGTTAGCTTAGTGTTATGATCACCCAAAGGGAGCGTATATCCTAAATCACTGTGTATCATATAAATACAGTTGATTGTGCGTAACGCAAAGGTAGGTTTTAAATACCAGCATGATCCAACATAACCGATTTAACTTATCAAGATAGGTCCAACATCCTAGACAGATTCAACGTGAAAATTATATCGATTGCAACAGTTAGGTATTAACATGGTTTTAACAGAATACTTAGCTACAATATGGCAGCATGGATTCGACATGGCAGCAAGAAAACTCAAATACATGAGTTGAAATCAAAGACAAAATATTCAACACGACAGGGACTCTAGACTGAACACGATAGAGAAACTAGTCCGGGATGGTAGTAAGAACCTATAAGGCTATGTAGGTTTACAGAAATATACAATGAAACATGCCTTGCTAAAAATAAATCATGAGATGTATAAGTACCTAGCATTAACATAATTTGATGGACATAGAAAATAGAACGTAATAAAATAATTCGTAATATTATGTGTCATTACTGTGTTTTTATTATCATTGATACTGTTGCATACTCATTCTTGTTATGATCGTCATTATCATTGCCATCAGGAATATGCGAACGAGTAATACTGTTAATAATAATGTATTTTTCATTTTTAGACGGATGTTTTCATTCATACAGTAATTAAAGTAATGGGAATCACGGAATGACGTTGATAGAAATGGATGATAAAAATGAATTTTTAACATCAGAATACACGGATTCTTCTTTTCTTTTGTGATTAAGAATGAACCCCTCTCTGTTATTCTTGTTTACTTCTATATGTTAAGTATATATATATATCTATTTTTTCTGATGATTAACTGATTGTACATCCATTCCGTTTCCATTTCTGCGATGGCTGACTCTATATAATTACGTAGTTACATGTTTATCTGATCTTCGTACTTTTCTTTCCTCATTATCCAGTAATTCATATTCAGCAGAGGTATAGACTGCTTCCTGTAATACCTTTCTTGCACAAGGCTTGGCGATGCTGTCTCGCTATTGGTCGGGGCGTAAAAGGTCGACCAATGACATTAAAGGATATATTCTACAATATCAGGCACAGAGAGATATATATAAAGGCCTTAGACCCAAAGCTTAGTATACTCAAATGCTTACTGGAGAAAACAGAACATTAAGCCTCCTAACTTTGAAGAGATTCTTTATCTACTGAGTGATTTGCAAGGTGTGTATATGTAAATTTGTGAAAAAACCGATCTGGTTATTACATAAGGTGAAATAAATCAGTGTTTATAGACTATAGTATTGAACATAGGGATCAGTCTTCATTGTTTGCCAAGGAAAATTAAGTACATCATTGCACTAATTTACTTATAACATTCTGACTTCTCTTGCGATTAACTAAGAACGTTTTGCTTTTCCTTTCAGATGAATAGCGCCCTTATCCTTCTGGTGGCCGTTGGTCTTTCCTGCTTGATGGCAGTCCAAGCAACCTCATTCGGCGTTCTAGCCGGCCTAGGAGCCTTGACGAGCGCTATAAGCAAACGGAGATATCACGGTGCAAGCCATGGACGCGGCCATGGCCATGGATATAGAGCTCCTAAAAGGAAGTACCGTCTCCGCTACCGCCGCTCCGTCGCAACAGCTGATGAGGAAGATGACGACCTGATTTTATCCGCAGTAGGACAGCTGGATACCGACACCTGCATCCCCAAGATGTTTTGCGTCCTGCAAACGAAGGATGAATCCGATCGTACACAGAAAGAGAACATGCTTGTGGAAATCTTAAGCGATAATACCATGAACCCAAACTCCTACAACGCTGCCTTCGTCTACGCTAGAGTCGTCGCCACTAAGGAGAAAGACTCCTCCGTCTGCAAGAAGGTTTTCCCCAAATGTTCACTTGGTGAGGAGGAACTGAGTGAGCTCTTGGATCTAGCATGGGGCTGTGACTGCAGCTCTGGAGGGAAAGAGTAAAGCTAGCAGCTAAAACTCATTGTCGCATCTGTTGGCATCTTCCTATGGCTAGAGCCACAGAAGGGTGACAAGGTGTTTCTCTCTCTAATGTCCGTTGGACAGCGAAAACACATATTCACTGATGAGTCATACTGCAAAGAGAAAATCTCTAATTGCGATATGTCCTGTTAGTGTACATACATTATACACAAATATTCTGTGTCTTTAAATAGATAATATTTATTTGCTTCATGCCTGCGAATATGCGAGTGGTTGACCCAAAGACAGATATTTTATTTTTTACGCCAAATGCAGTATTGTTATGACAGCCTGTTCTTATCATGCTGAATTGCTGATGACTTTAGACAAATAAATCTAAATATAGTTTCTAGAATGATTGTGCTTTTATCCCTCTCTTTTTCATCACAGAACACATTACCTATATTCCCAGGCATATTGTACAAGAATCCTGGTTGGGCCACCTAAACTTAGTATATGTAGAGATAAATCTATCTCTATATCTATATTTATAGCCATATCTACATAGCTATATATGTATATATATCTATATAAAAATATGTATACATACATATTATTTATATAAATATATATAAACTGAAAACATGTGAATGCATTAATTCATCAATACATCTATCTACATATTTACATTTATAACGATATAATATATATAATTATATATATATATATATATATATATATATATATATATATGTATGTATATATGGCAAAGGAACAACGTAGGGAAGAACAAGAAAACACGGAGGCACTTTCGCTGTATTGCTTCTTCATAGTTTCCTCATGCCTTAAAAAAGCAATATGTATATGTATATATACATACATTCATATATATGCACACACACACACACACACACACACACACACACACATATATATATATATATAATATAGATATAATATATACTTGTGCAAATGGTCTTGCATCTGTCTATCTATATTTACAAATAAATTTATATATAAATGCCCATATATATGTATATATGTACACACACACACACATATATATGTCTATATATGTCTGTCTCTCTCTATATATGTATATATATAAGTATATATATATGTCTATGTATATACATATATATATATATATATATATATATATATATATATATATATATATATATATATATATATAATATATGTATCTATCTATATATATGCATGTATGTACACATATGTTTTGTTTATGTATAACTGAATGAAGTTGCTGAAAATTTCTTCCTGCTCACCATTTTCCACGTCTCTGGGTCATATTAGCACTTGCTTCATCTTCAGAGTATAAACTACCAAACGCTACTTGGCAATATGTAATTCTTCTAATTAGCCTTAGCATGGAAACTTTCTCTCTTAAATAGCTTTCCTTGACCTGGCATAAACACGGCTCTTGTGGGAATTCTATTCCAAAAGAAAGAACCCAGAGCAAGCTGTCTCCTTGGTGAATCAGGGTGGAAACGATAACCATATACTTTGACTTTATTTTTTCCTCTCTCTTTCTGCCTTAAACTATGTACCATTTCCATTCCCTGATTTTTCATGTTCAGTAGACGTGTATTACAGAAGTCTTCGGAGGGAAAATACTTTTTGTGTTTGTTTACGCTGAATTGATTGCCACGCGTGTGTAATCATAAGGAAAGAAGGGCACTAAAAAAAAAAAAAAAAAAAAAAAAATAGCACCAAAGCCATTAAACATACGAAGCAGCACCCAGCCATTCCGGACTCCTCCATTCGCTTTCCAATGCACTCACACTAACGATGTTCCTTGCATTTCATTCTAGTTTGACATATATGTGCTTATCTATTGTTTATTTCGATTGTGTCTTATTCATTGATTTTTCAATTTGCCCCTCTCCCCTCTTTCTCATTTGTGTTCGTTTCCTGCCCTCCCCCTTTCTCTGTCTTGTTCATTTTCTTCTCTCTTTTTTTTTTGAAACTGCATCCCATTTGCCATCTCGTCTTGCAGCCATTTGTGTAACTATTGTGAAACCTTCATCAGCTGTTTCTCTCGTTACTCTTTATTATTATATTTTATTATTATTTTATTATTATTATTTTTTTATTTTTTATTTTTTTTGCTGCATTCCTTTTTTTCCTTTTTTTCTTCTCAGGTTTCTCCTTAAAGAATCATCATACATAGAACGATACGCCTTCTTTTTTTACTGCTTTTTTCTTGATTTCACTTTTACTTTTTGCAAACTAACATTACTTCATTGCTCAACACAATACCCAATGAAGTCAGAGCAATATATAGACACGAAACATAGCAATGAACTTACACATTTCCCCCGAGTTTTAAAATCAGCGTATAGCTCATGAATGTGAGTCACAGTTACTCGTTAACAATGAATAGTAATGAGGATGGTCTGGCGAGTGTGAAGGTATTCTGAGAATCTCCGGTTAGCTTAGCGTTATGATCACCCAAAGGGAGCGTATGTAATCCTAAATCATTGTGTATCATATTAAGATACAGTTGACTGTGCGTAACACAAAGGTAGGTTTTAAATACCAGCATGATCCAACACAACAGATTTAATTTGTCAAGATGGGTCCAGCGTCCTAGACAGATTCAACGTGAAAATTATATCGATTACAACAGTTAGGTATTAACATAGTTTTAACAGAATACTTAGCTACAATATGACAGCAAGAAAACTCAAATACATGAGTTGAAATCAAGGACAAAAAATTCAGCACGACAGACTCTAGACTGAACACGATAGAGAAACTAGTCCGGGATGGTAGTAAGAACCTATAAGGCTATGTAGGTTTACAGAAATATACAATGAAACATGCTTTGCTAAAAATAAATCATGAGATGTATAAGTACCTAGCATTAACATAATTTTATGGACATAGAAAATAGAACGTAATCAAATAATTCGTAATATTATCTGTGCCATTACTGTGTGTTTTTATAATCATTGATACTGTTGCATACTCATTCTTGTTGTCATTATCATTATCATTGCCATCAGGAATATGCGAACGAGTAATACTGTTAATAATAATGTATTTTTCATTTTAGACGGATGTTTTCATTCATACAGTAATTAAAGTAATGGGAATCACGGAATTACGGTGATAGAAATGGATGATAAAAATGAATTTTTAACATCAGAATACACGGATTCTTCTTTTCTTTTGTGATTAAGAATGAACCCCTCTCAGTTGTTTTTGTTTACTTCTATATATATATATATATATTATCTATTTTTTCTGATGTTTAACTGATTGTACTTCTTCCGTTTCCATTTCTGCGATGGCTGACTCTATATAATTACGTAGTTACATGTTTATCTGATCTTGTGCTTTTCTTTCCTCATTATCCAGTAATTCATATTCAGCGGAGGTATAGACTGCTTCCTGTAATACCTTTCTTGCACAAGGCTTGGCGATGCTGTCTCGCTATTGGTAAAAGGTCGACCAATGACATTAAAGGATATTTTGCCACAATATCAGGCACAGAGATATATATATAAGGCCTTAGACCCAGAGCTTAGTATACTCAAATGCTTACTGGAGAAAACAGAACATTAAGCCTCCTAACTTTGAAGAGATATCTACTGAGTGATTTGCAAGGTGTGTATATGTAAATTCGTGAAAAAAAAACGATCTGGTTATTGCATAAGGTGAAATAAATCACGATGTTTATAGACTATAGTATTGTCTTCATTGTTTGCCAAGGAAAATTAAGTACATCATTGCACTAATTTACTTAAACATTCTGACTTCTTTGCGATTAACTAAGAGAATACACATTTTGCTTTTCCTTTTAGATGAATAGCGCCCTAATCCTTCTGGTGGCCGTTGGTCTTTCCTGCTTGATGGCAGTCCAAGCAACCTCATTCGGCGTTCTAGCCGGCCTAGGAGCCTTGACGAGCGCTATAAGCAAACGGAGATATCACGGTGCAAGCCATGGACGCGGCCATGGCCATGGATATAGAGCTCCTAAAAGGAAGTACCGTCTCCGCTACCGCCGCTCCGTCGCAGCAGCTGATGAGGAAGATGACCTGATTTTGTCTGCAGTAGGACAGCTGGATGCCGACACCTGCATCCCCAAGATGTTTTGCGTCCTGCAGGCGAAGGATGAATCCGATCGCACACTGAAAGAGAACATGCTTGTGGAAATCTTAAGCGATAATACCATGAACCCAAACTCCTACAACGCTGCCTTCGTCTACGCTAGAGTCGTCGCCACTGAGGAGAAAGACTCCTCCGTCTGCAAGAAGGTTTTCCCCAAATGTTCACTTGGTGAGGAGGAACTGAGTGAGCTCTTGGATCTGGCATGGGGCTGTGACTGCAGCTCTGGAGGGAAAGAGTAAAGCTTGCAGCTAAAACTCATTGTCGCATCTGTTGGCATCTTCCTATGGCTAGAGCCACAGAAGGGTGACAAGGTGTTTCTCTCTCTAATGTCCGTTGGACAGCGAAAACACATGTTCACTGATGAGTCATACTGCAAAGAGAAAATCTCTAATTGCGATATGTCCTGCTAGTGTTCATACATTATATGCAGATATTCTGTGCCTAGTCTTAGATAATATTTATTTGCTTCATGACTGCGAATATACAGGTGGTTAACCCAAAACAGATGTTTTATTTTCTACACCACATGCTGTATAGTTATGACAGCATATTTCTTACCATGCTGAAACTTTGATGACTTTAGACAAATAATTTAAATATAGTTTCTAGAATGATTGTGTTTTATCCCTTTCTTTTTCACCATCACCTAACACATTACATATATTTCCAGGCATATTGTACAAGAATCCTGATTAGGCCACCAAAACTTAATAAATCTCTGTCTGCATAGCTATATTTATTTATATCTGTATCAGTCTATCTTTATATGAATCTATATATATTTCTATCTATCTATATGTATTTATTTATCTATATATGTACCTATATATCTATATGTAAAATATGTATATATACATGTCCTTATTTATATAAATAAATATATAATATATATGTGCATGTACTTATTTATCAAATCTATGTTTACATTTATAACTAAATATTTATATGTATACATATACATATTTAAATAAATATATAAATGTATTTATATGACAAAGAACAACGCAGGGAAGAACAAGAAAACTCTAAGGCATTTTCGCTGTATTGCTTCTTTCTTCATGCCTTGGATAAACAATATATATACATATACATACTTACATTCATATATATGTACACACACAAACATATATAAATACTTGTACACATGTTTATGCATCTGTCTATCTATATTTACATATAAATTTATATATGAATGCCCATATATATGTGTATGTGTATATATATGTATGTCTGTATGTCTCTCTTTCCTTACATATACACATATATATACATATG